TGGATTGTTCTTTCTTAGTAAGATCCCATTTTCATTACAATTGTGGTCTTACCTTGACTTGAAGATGAAGTCCATGCTCTCCTTCTGGACAACAATCTCTATTAGTTTTTTGTAAAAGTCCTCCTTATATTCCTGTCTTTTCAAAGGTCTAGTTTGTTGTTTGTGTCTATCCGTGTCTGCGTAGAATAACAGTAGCAACAAGAACCTGTGGGCTCATGTGCGCCCCCTTCAGTGCGGCAGAGGTTATGGCTGCCTCTCCCTGCTGCTTTTTTCATTACCGTTATATGATGAGACCAGCGAGCCTAAATATCATATATACGTGAAATAAGTTATTTAGAGACTATGGATGGCGAGGATAAATGTAATAAAGGGATCTACAAACATTACATTGGTGACCTACAGTGAGATGGTAACAGGCATGCGCTTAGGGCCCGCTTTCCAGCCAGTTTCTGTGGGGTGACGCATTCTGAGGTGAGGCAGAGCTCATCTGTGCCTCACCTCACCCCACAGTAACTGGCTTGAGCGCGCTCACAAAATAAGTGCCCGCGCTAAATTAGTGCCCGCGCTCCAGCAAATTACTGTGGGCTTACGAGAGGCAGAGCTCGTCCCTGCCTCACTTCTCATCGCTACCCGTAGTTGTAGCGGAGGCTGATTTTGACTTTAAAAAGCGATTGGAATCATACATAAATCACACTTACATCACAGATCAGTGGAGACATTTATTATTATTACTATTTAGTTTTTCTTTAGTTGTTGCACGTCGCTGCTACTCAGTAAAGTAAAAATGTCCGCATTGTACTACAATATATCACTGCTGTGGGGGTCACTTTAACATCTCACTACTTAAAAAAACGATTTGTTTTAAAATATCAATTTAATGGTTTATTTTTGTGTTTTTTTTATCTGTCTTTTGATTCTTAGAGGAGAAATGTCGAGGGTTTTATACTTTGACTCCAGGATCTGAAGTAGGTAAATATCTTCATCACGTTCTCTTGTATTTCTTAGTTATCTGATTGTTATCCAAACCCTTCATCAGTGTCGTCCTCCTGCCTGTGGGTTGAAGGCCAAAGATTCACGAGGGAAGTCTTAAAAAATATCCTAATTCTGGGTGGTCTTAAATATCAAAGATGGGTTTGGGTAACAGTAAAACAGGAACATGTGTTGTCTGGGGATTCAAAATGGATGAAAGAGAAGGATGAAGGGAATATTAAAAGGTTAGAAAACTGTCAAAATAACTTTCATCTCACGGGAAGACTAGGGGTCGAGGAATGTGAGAATTTGGTTAGGGGTCAAATATCTGGAACATCCTGCAGGTCCGCTGCAACTCTGACTACTTTTAAATCCAGGCTGAAGACTTTTCTTTTTGCCGCTGCTTTTAATTGAACTATTCACATCTCATGTTTCGAATGTGTTTTGAGCTCTTAATGACATTTTTGTAAAGCACTTTGAATTGCCTTGTGTTGAAAAGTGCTATATGAATAAACTTGCGTTGCCTTTCTGAAGAACACTTTAGTGTAAGATAAGATAAGATGGACTTTATTTATCCCCTTGGGGAAATGCAGGCGTTTATAGCAGCGAGGGTCAGAGTGAAAAACAGGATTCACACAAGGGACAAATAAAGACAAATTAGAAGTAATGGTTGAAACAAGATATCACAGTGAAACGCTAAGCATTTGAATGAACAAGATATTTACATTAGTGTGCAGTAAGTGCTTCAGTGTTAATGTATTCATCATTAAAAACAGAGCAGACAATGTTTTTATTGCACTAGCGTTGTTTAAAAGTGTCTATTAATAATAATAATAATAATAATAATAATGAGGAGAAGAAGAAGAATACAATATTTCTATTATACTATTTCTATTATTTTATAATGTATGTTGCATTGTTGGAGGAGCCTGGGATTACAGATTAAACCATCAATGGTATTAAGCATTTCCCAGCATGCATTGGGTGAGAGATCGGTCATCGATCAGATGAGTAACCCATAGCGCCTGATTAGTCGAATTTGCAGCTGATTTTAAGTTATTTTTCTCTCTATTATTGATAAAAAATGGATCATGCTATCAGGATATGAGGTAACGGATATACATACAGACTTCTCGGGTGAAATAAGGAAAAATCGGCTTAAAGAAAAGGTTTTTATTGTGTATTAAAACTCTAGTACAGTGTGTGTCCAGTACCTGGTTCATGAGCGGCAGAGGCTTCTCCACATCTTTCTCTCTCTGTTTGACCAGATCCTTCAGCATCTGCTTCAGCTGCTCCTGGTAGTCCTTCACTTCTCCTTCAACATCTGGAACAGCAGTTTCAATGACGGCTACAGTCAGTAAAGAGAGCTAATGTTATGCTAACTGGATGTTGGCTTATACATCATGTTCCCTGTCTAGTGGTTTGTGTAACTATAGTTCAGTAAACAGACAGGAGACGGCTGACGTCCAACACGATTCAGCATCTATCACTGATGGTTGCTACGTCTCCCTCGTTTCCCTGTTAGTGTCAAAGAACACAATCCCAGGATCCTTTGTTTGTTTCAGTCATTGCTCATTGGAGTGACGTGGAGAGACATAACAGTGCATCCCGACCAGGTTTAGAAAGTGAAAAAGTTCGGGCTACTCTCTCACTGTACAGGTTAAGTCAATAGGTTGCGATCGCTAGCATCCTCCAAAGATGGGCGACTTGCTGTGGATGACGTCACAATTCTATGATACAACAACAACAACAACAACAACAACCCGTCACTGTTTAGTTCTTGAGCCGGTTCACATGGCAGTGTGTGTGCACTGACCTGACGGCAGATTAACAAAGAGCGGTCTGTTTGTGGACACCAGGGGGCTCTTCATCAGAGAGGGGTCATCCTCACTTTCTGTCAGAGCTGCACACACACACACACACACACACACACACACACACACACACACACACACACACACACACACACACACACACACACACACACACACACACACACACACACACAGTAAATAAGTCAATTTCCAGTCCTGACAGCAGCTTGGATCTCATGACTTTCATCATCTAATTAACATAATGAGTGACCTGGTGGGATGTGCAGACGGTACAGCAGCCGGACCTTCTCATTCAGCTCCTCACAGTACAACGTGTCTGAGAGAGAGAGAGAGAGAGAGAGAGAGAGAGAGAGAGAGAGAGAGAGAGAGAAAGTATTAAAACAAATCACATGTGCAACAGCTTCTAATTAAATGTTCCAAGAGGACACATACATGCCCACTACATGAATACAGAAGGATATAAAAGGCAAGGAGTCCCAAACCGCCTGCTGATCCACAACGTGTTGTTTGTTTGCAATCACATACGTCTATGTGTTTGTTTAATACTTTAATTGTTTGTGAATTATCTTGTTGCCTAAAAATGATGTTCGGTTTAAGCGTTGATGGCGGGGAATTCATCTCAAAGAGAGAAAAGATGCTATATGCCAGATTTGAGCAAATTGACTGTCATGAATTTGCCAGAAAAAAGTCAAAATGTAGAATAAATGAAGTAAATGATGAATTTGAAAAGACCCTGAAATACATGTATATAGAGCAGGGGTGTCCAAACTTTTTTCACTGAGGGCCACATACAGAAAAATATACGAAGAGCTGGGCCGCTCACTAGAGGTGAGGAATATTGCCTTATCAGTT